AAGGCTTCATTTGCTTGCATGGCAGGCAATATGTAGATGAGAAATCACGGGGCTAATTTTGCCAGCCATCATCTGCGCTAGAAATATTGTAGCTAAAAATATTTGGCTTGTCTCGATCTAAATTAAAGATTTCGCCGCCTCTATCAGTATCAATTTTATTTTCTAAATTGAACTAATCGCTCTAGAGATTGGCCGCTTTTTATCAATTATTAATTTGATCCTTGAACTGAATTGCCCTATGGGATTTGACCGCCTGTGTGCATACGCGCACTGCACATCTGTCAGAATCGATTCTGCGAGAAATCTCACGTAAGCAGTCGTTGGAAGACGGTCCGCAATGTGTTAATACAACAAAACTTATACAATTCTGTAGGCGTCGGCCTACGAATTGATACGCCGGGTACGAGAGCTGTTCAATCGCGGTGTCGAGTACCCGTTTTAACACTAGAACTACCACACCAGTCATTTTGGCTGGTTTGACAACTTTATTTTAAAATTCCTACTTCATGTTACATTTTTTCTTCGCAATGATGTAATGAATTGGGATTGATATAATGAACTTTAATTTGGTTTTATTCATTTAAAATAAAAGTAATTTTATATCATGGCTACTTATACCAGTATCAGTAAAATTGACTGGTTTTGGTAGAGATAGCTACGTCTCAACTGTCGGTAGTTCTAGTGTTAAAAGAAGAAAAGCGTTAAATCAGAGCTTGGATAGTTGTCGATCCTCGTCGGTAGAGATCGCGTAGATGATACTCGTGTCATTCATATCTTTCGTCATATCCTAGTCGAGACGTGATCATATCCCGTACCACGGTCGTCTCGTTTCGACCCTGTAGTCAAGATGGGTTGTAACAAATAACGTCTCTGCTACTTCCGCAAAATACATACGAGCTGTACAAGCAGACTGTTCAGCAAGTTTATTGACCGAGCTCGATTGGCTCGCGAGCCAGCAATCTGGTGAAACGATATTATTAGCGCCGGCTAATTTATCCCTCC